CATTGCTTATTTTAAGGGAGCAATAGAAGTAAGTGAAGCTGAATTTTGGCTCCCTCCTGTGAGGAACAGTTCTGTGTCTCCGTGAAGAATGGTCACCTCTTGCGAAACGGAAGGGAAGTGCCGTTCACTTTTTTCTCCCTAGCATTCCTTTATATTACTTCAAGGGAAAATAAGACATAAGAAATTGGATTACACTCCATTATTTGTGTACTTACCCAGTGATTTTATTTTTTTAAATGTATCCCCTGTGATTGACAGTTTGGGAACCAAGTCTGAACCTCAGTGGATATGACCTCACGAGAAAGCCAATCTCTATTGAATGGCAGTTGGTGGCTTTATTTCAAGGACAGCAACACCCAAATTCAGAGGCTGGATTTTATTCTGATGACTGGTTGCACTCTGTTTCCACATAAGAGCTCTTCTCCAGATGGGCCGTCTCACTTTAGAAGGAGTTTCTCATCATTCCTTGTGTCTAATCTAGTCACAGTCAGACCTACAGTATCTAAAACTATAGAATTCCATGCTCAGAATCTTAGTGACCAATCACTCACATTCTCCCACCAAATGAATCTGATTTCACATTTGTGATTTCATCCTTCCTTATTATCATCACTGAGATCTAGTCATCCGAACCATGAAACATGCCATCGGAAAGGAGACTGTGGCAAAAAGGTAGTTCAATGCTGTGTTCTGTTTGGTCAGAGATCTTTCCAAGTCTGCTCGGCTGCATCTAGACAGGGGTCTACCATAGACTCCACGAATGAGAGATGGTTCTCACCTGTCTTTGTATCTGGGTCCAAGATGATGGAGGTGGAGTCAGGGAATCTATTGCCAGGATAACCCAACTTGCTCAAGGTTGAAAATATTGCTTTCTCGATAATATTGATCTAGACACTAATGATTCTTTGAATTGTGTTGTCTCAATCCGGAGTCAAAGCTGGGCATTCACTGAGGTCATGAATTCAGTAGTGAACTACACAAATGGACTTTCTTGAGGCAATGGTGCATTACAGGGAACCAAAGGAGCGGGGATGCAAAGCATCACATGGTCTCAGCCAGTCCCTGCTTAACCCCCACAGCTGACATCCCTCCAACCCAATGCATTTGCTTCTGCAATCCCGAGTCTCATGTCTTATGCACGGGTAGTTTCACTCCCCTCTAGTTTGGGAGTCCCACACATAGCTAATAGGGTCAGGATGCAGAGCCAGTGGCATCCACTATCAACTCTCTCTCTCTTTCTCTCTCTCTCTCTCTCTGAAATATATTTGCTTTACTGCATTTTTAGGCCCTCATTCTGTTTGGAAACTGTCCATAACACTTCAGTATGCAGAGAGCTCATCCAACACTATCCAGTGTGTCCATCTTTCTCATTTCCCCTCTTCATCTGGCTGTTCTTGCTTGCTTTCTTGGCAGGTCATCCACCTTTCTCCTGTACAAGACCTTCTGTTCGTGCATGGCTGACGTCTGGATCACTTCCCCTTGTCCAGTACTGCTTCTTTCATAGCTTGAAGTCAGCAAACAAAACTCTGAGTTCATCCCTTGGATGTGCTTTAGTAAACTGATTAGCCTCTCAGAATCTTCATTTCCTCACATATAGAAGGGGCTGTTGACTTGATGAATATGCTTAAAATATCCTCAATATGGGATTAAGGAAATAATAGTGTGTGGGAAAACCCTGTTGCACAAGTATGGGAAGCCCAATCCAAATCACCAGAATCCATGTAAAAGGCTGGGCGTGGCCATGCTACTTGTTCCAGAGTGTGGCACCTTGCAGCGAGCAGTACTGGGCAGTGACTGGGGGATCACTGGGACCTGCTGGCTACCAGCCTATCTCCAGTTCAAGGAGACCCTGTGTTAGGAAGTAAGGTGGGGAGTGACAAAGTAGTACCTATAACACCCTCCCTTCTTGCCCTTTGGGTGTGTGTAATCAAACACATATCTATGCATACTTTGCAAATATATACCCCACTGCACATGCACACACACACAAATGCGCACAAAATCAGTGACTTTGGAAACCTAGATTTTTTAAATATATGACTGAAATATCTAATTAAGACATATGATCTACATACTATCTCAAAATGATCAGGATTAGTGGGTTCAAGATAAATGGCATTGATACTGAGATTTTTTTGTTAGTTCTTAGTAGCTAGAGTTATTTTTTAAGTATACCCCATCAAGCCCCAAGGATATTTATAGACCAAACTTCTTAGCTAGTCTGGCTATCATGATTTCACTTTATGTGCTGGGCTTGTACAAGTGGCTATTGTACACCAGCCAAGATGATTCACTTTTTATCACTAGACAGAACACTTCTTTTAATGTGGTTCTATCTTGAGGGATCTGTTTTCTGCTACCAGTTAAATACCAGTGGCACAGGAGGTGGCATGGATGCATTGAAGATTCCCAGATGAGTGGTTCAAGACTGTTTAAAAGTCAGAAACTTGGCTTGTGATGGGAAACACAAGTGGATCGTTTCACAATAAACCTACCTCACTTGTTTTTTCTATTTGCTGCTTACCTATAACCTTAAATACCAATGTAGGCAGGGATAGAAATTGTGCCACACACAGAGGATCGCTGACTTTTCCTCATTCTTTCTATTGGTGCTTGTCACCTTTTCTAACAGTTGTGTGGGTTTATATGTGTTTCTTAGCTGAGAGTTGGGGTAAGAAAGAGGAGTATTTGGAATGTCATACCCAGGGATATATTGCTGTCAAACATATTATTGAAGTTGGGAAAAATGAAATTGAAACAAAGAATGCCTGCTACTTTAACTCATTTTAAAAAACATAATGTTCTTTACTTGCTGACTAGAAATATTGTGTTTTCAGAGAAGAGAAAGTGCTAATCTAGATAGGAGAAAATGTGATGATTTACTATGCAATGATATGAAGTAAGAGTCTTTTAAATTGAATATTTCAGTTTGTGGAGAGATAAGCGCTTTGTATGAAAAACGGTTTTTCTCATCAGGTGGTGAGTATTGCTCTCAAATTGCAGGAAAGTAAAATCGTCTTGTCACTGAAGATTTTCTTATTGACATCTTTAGCTTGTCTTTATGCCAGTAATTAAATTGCTAATTATGTATTTCTGTTACAGTGGTCATGCTTTTATTACATAATTGCTTCAAGTTTAGCACAAATCACCAACAATATTTATTTAACCTTTTTGTTCATTAGATAAATTTTAATATATAAAAACTATGGAATGACTTCATTGACTCTGTTTTGATTAGCAAAATCAAAGGAATTCTAACCTTTTTTATAGTCATCTGGGTTGTTGGTCATGTTTTCAATCAGGTTTCTGGTAATTATTAATTTGGGCAATAGCAATCATTTAAAATAGAAGGAGAAAATACAAAGGAAACTGTTCAAAAACATAAGGCCTGATCTAGAAATGTAAAGTAATCTTTACTGACAATATTGGAAATATGAAATTAATAATTTGATAATTGATATTTGATTAACTTATGCTAATTTAGTCACCAAATCCCCTCTCCTCATGAAACATAGGCAGAATTTTGTCAGAGTTTCAATGTATTCATGAATTTTTCTTATTTGTTTATTTTACACAAACCATAAGAGACATTTTTCTCAGTGAAGATTGCCTCTTTATTTTATTTTGAAATATTTGTATATTTATTTCATTAAATGAGATAATGCTTTTTCTTATTAACATAATTTCCAGTACATTAAACATATTTCTCCACAGACAGAAGAGAGGAATCAAATTAAATGACAACTAAATCACTTGCAGCAATTTCAACTGTTAAAAGAAATAAGTGTCTCTGTTTTCTTTGTGATCACAAGATGTGCTGTAAAGGGAAATGAAATCCTAAAGAAAGAAGAGAAAACATAAAGAAATAATGACTGACTTATTGCAGCAATACCACTGAGAGAAGAAAAATTCACTGCAAATAAAAGGAAAATAATATAGTGGATTTGAAAGTTACCAAAATTCATTTCTTATTGATGAGTTCAGTGGAAGCTTAATGCTAAGTAAACTGATGAAAAAAATCAATGCAATAAACTATGAATGATGAAAGTTGAAATAAATACTTTGCGCATGGAGGGCCATTATTCTAAATGTCTAATTTTTTAATAATTCATGCCTTTCTGTTTATAAAAAAAGAGGAATTATTGCTTGGTGAACTCAAAATGCATGTAAAAAGCTTCTGCTGGAATCCCACACTTGGTAATAAGCACAAATGATATCTATGACCTTCTGATTTTAGTGTCACATCTGGCTTTCATGTGGGTGTGTCAGGGCAGGGTGAGTTTGGGTGTGTGCTAATGTAACTTATTCAACCTTTAGGTGTTATGGAATACAAGCTGCTTTCTAAAAAATTGTGATTTCTAGATCCTAGAAAAAGGAAAACCTCAGAACATATGTTACATGTATGAATTAATGTATGTATAGCAATGTGTGTAGTACATATATCAAGCTTATAGGTGTTCTGGAGGAGACTAGTGCCTTCTTGGGGAAATCAACACTGATACATACATGCAGAGTATGTATTTGGGGTGTTGATTGTTAATTTCAATATTTCCCTAATAGTCATTGTGTTTAAATCAGATCACACAGACTACCTGGATCTGAATATTTTCAGGTTAGGTGATCACTTATTTTCTCTTTTGACACATCTTAAAAATGTATAAGTGGTTAATCTACTAAATTAATCAGACGCTGGGGATTCTGTAAAGAGCTTATCCAACCATTTTTCTCAGATTGCTCACAAATGATTCCACCATCTACCACACTGACCCTGCCAAGCTCCCCTTCAAACCCTGGAGTTTCCCCTGTCATCCCTAGCGTGCTGCACCTCGGCTTTCTCTCCCACTTTCTTTGTTTTGATTCTCTCTCCAACATGCTAAGAAGCCCTTTCCCGAGGCCTCCGTCTTTTCCTCTTTATCTTCTGTCCCTTTCTACTACCTAACCCTTACCCTGCCCACTGGAAATTAGAATTCTAACATGATTTCTCCTCTTTTGAATTACAGACTCGTGAGAGTATTGCCTTCAGAAAACATCCAACTGCCACTCCAGAATGGGATAAGTAAGGTAATAATCGCCACTCCTCTCTACTTGCACAGACTCTTTATTCCAAAGGTCCGCAGCTTCCCACCCAGTACCACCTCTCAAACTGATTTTGCCTTAGTATGGGACTTTATGAGAGTGTGTGGGAACTGCAAAGCAAGCAATTTTCTAAGTCAGGGCTGGCCGGAGTTGGTGGGTCAATGGCAACATTCAGGAATCCTTTCATGTGCCTACTTTGGAAATACTTCCTCTTGTCGTTCACTTGGGTTGCAGGGAATAAGGCAAAAGTGCAAGGCACATGCAAGAGATTTTGAATTATGCATTAAGCTGATAATGTCTGGGCTTGCAAACGATGTCAATAAATAACTAGGCTGGTAGGAGGAAGGCATTTACCTCCCCAGAGCAGGGGGTACCACACGGGGAGAGAGCTAGAGGAAGACCAGGGGAAGGGTGAATGGGATCATAGCCTTCTGGCTTCCTCTGATGAAGAAGAGCTATGAGTAAGTTAATATTGAAACTGTTGCCTAATGTCTATTTGCTTTTCAAATAAGTTAGCTTCTCTCTCCAGTAGGGTCCCTTGTCTGTGCTTGTGGTAGAGTTAGCCCTTCCTCATATGATGCCTTATGTAAAGGAGGGAGATTCTTCTGATGGGGTCCACTAAAGACTTCTTTAAAAAGTTTAGAGTTTTCATGATGAAATTTGGGGACATTCTTATGAATGTTAGTAGTTCACTCAAGTTTTCACTCCATCTTGTATTTTTAATTGATTAATATATATTCTAAAAGCAGAAGTTGAGCCAGTTGAAGAAACAGAAGGATTAAAGGAAGGTTAAAATGATATCCCCAGTGTAGGGTACAACTGATGGGAACCAGACCTTTAATATTTTCATCCCTTTTCCTACTTTAGTAAAATACACAGATGAATTTGGTTGCTTTTATTGTGTGTATTGATCACGGAAGTCTGTCTTTGCAAACATACACACACTTTACAAAACGTTGTGTAGGAGTTACATAGTATTAGGGGAATGCTAGTAGAAGGACAACTGCATGTTTGCCTATATGCTCTCCCCCCCCCATAGGAAAAGGACACCATTTGCATTTCATCATTTTCCAAGTACGGGCAGTTCAGTAAAGAGTACAGGCCCATCCTATCTGCTTACACGCATGCATACACCAACAGATTAAAATGGATCTGGAAAAACACCCTTCTCCTCAGAGAGTCATATCAAGCAGTGTTTAAATTAAATAATTTGCATAGTGTGGGGAATAAAGCTTTGGTATCAGTATGTGGAGGTTTTCTTCCCTAGGGACACCTGTGCCATTTAGTACAAATCTGGTGCATCCCAATGAGGCACAGGCATGCATCCTCTCACGAGAAGAGAGGTTTTATTTTACATCTAAATTTATTTGTTTCTCGGCATCATCTTCCATTTCATATTGTGCCAAGGTGGAAACAGGAGACAACCTACGTGTGAAATGTTGAGGTCGTTCAGATCCAAGCAGCAGCAAGCCGCAAGCCGCAAGGCTATGTCTTGAGTGATTAGGCAAGAGGAAGGTTGGTGCCTCCTGGCATAAAGCCAGGTATCCAACGGCTCCTCCCGGGAGTATGGCTGTGATCACAAGCATATTCAAGTTCAGTCAGTGTTTGATTTTGCCCAGACCATTGCCCGGTGAAGAAAGAGGGGCTGTTACTGTGATGAGATCATGTGAGTGACAAGCAGATAAATTAGTTGATTTTTTTCTACTTGTTCTGCTCAACTAGTATCTAGTCTCAGTTGAACAGTCAAGAAGTCATTTCTAGTGAGAATAATAAGTCGTGTCCCCAGCTAACTCATTTCTCCATAATCTGATGTAGTCTTCTCCTCACAAATGGATAAAACATAGCTCTCCACAGTAAAGACTGTGAATGAAATATTAAGGAGAGAGAAGTTGAAGGTGGGGGGGAAGAGCCCTACCCAGGTACAGAAACGCTTGCAAGGTCCTGTTTTTGAAAACTAAAGTGAAGACAATTGTTTTCCTTCAGTTTTCAGGTTAGTTTAATACCTCTTAGGACTCTATTTATTCCTTATTTAAAAGAAGTATTAGCAAAGACTAGTAACAGATACAGGAACTCTGAGTTTCTTCCCATCCTATCAACAACCATGCAACTTTGGCAGATTGCTGTCACCATAACAAGATACCACAGACCCAGTGGCATAAGTGACAAACTGATTTTATCTAGCTTCCAGAGCCTGAAAACCTAGTAACAATTGGCAGGGTTGGCATCTCCCAAGGCCTCTACTTTTGTTTTGCAGGTAGCTAACTTTTCTCCATGTATAAATGTCTGCTTTGGATAAGCACGGCCCTCATGCCACTTTAAGAGCCATCATGAAACTCCCATTATTGGTTTTAGAATGACCTTATCTCCAATTACAGTAGTAGCATTCTGTGATTCTAGTACCTGGGGCATCGAGTTATGAATTTGGAGAGTACACCTTTCAGTCTACAACTATTCTACATAATAGTTGGTAGGACATTTATTTATTCCCTGCTTGTATTTTTTGGTTTAATCGGAGATTTATGCAACCTTCATTCTCTTCTGCATTTTTATTGGTAGTTGAAAGTATTGTATTCAATTATTGGAGTGTTGTGTTTTATTATCTTAAAAACTAGAATCTGGGTGACAGAGAGGAGGCCTTGGGTAGGGGAGCAGTATTTATTCCTGGCATACAGAAGGACTCTGGGAACCCATACCATGTGGAGGGATGCTCTCTCAGCCTAGACACATAGGGAAGAACCTGGGCCCTTCCCGGGATGATGTGACAGATTCTGAAAATCCCTCATAGAGGCCCTTGCCCTCTCTGGGGAGCAGAGGAGGGATAGGATAGGGGTGAGGGGTTGGGAGGATTAGGGGGTGGAGGAGGAGGGGAGGGAGAGAGAACTGAAAGTGACATACATAAAAAGTTAAATAAAAACAAAGCAGAATCTAGAAAGAGGTTAAAGTTTATTTATGAAAACAAACAAAGATTACCTGATATTCTTTTCTTTTAGGAAGGAAGTCTTTTTTTTCATTGTTAGAATAGCCTAATAGCTGTTCATAATCTTATCATGGGGGTTAAAAAGCAGTTATGACCCATCTGTGCTACATGACAACTGACATAGAACTTGGCTACATTGTTTTCCTGATGCCTACAACTCCCCTGTATATCTTCAATGTTAGAACTCCCATGGGTTACTGAGAGTATTGAGGTAGTAAATATAAATGCTTAACATGCTACCTGGCTCATAGTCATTGGCCAGTATTCAAATAATATTCAAATAATTCAAATAATATTCAAATAATATTCAAAATAACCACAGACATGCTTCTTTCATTGTATCATGGTGCTGGATAAAATGTAATGCCTTTCCTGGGTTTCCTTTACTTACAGACTGTGTCCTGAGCTAGAGCTATTTTCTTTCTCTGTTGTTTGAGAAGACCTTGGTAGAGACTTGGATTTGTAATCTGTGGATATTGTACCAATAGACTTTATTATCAACTTTCATTCCCTTCAATACAACCTCTATTCTGCAAAGCAGAAAGAGGAGTTAGAAGGACAGTGAAAAAAAGTGGTGTGGGCCCTGTGATAGCTGTATGTCACATAAGAACTGTAGGATTTCTCTGTGGAGAATCTCAGGCTGTACAGCACTCGTGCACAAACTGTCATCCTGTAGTTTGCAGCCATAGTATCTTCCCATCTCCTGGAGACAGTATTTCAGTCCCTGAGTCTGGGAGGTTCAGTCTTTGGGCTGGGCTGTCAACTGGAATAGCCCAAAGAAAATGTTTTGCAATGAGTCAAACTCCTTTTTTGATGTGACAAAACATTGCCATTAGCCCTCGTAATGCTCTGTGCCCTGTAGTCACCACGCATCATCAGCACTACTTTACTTTTAAGTTCTTTGAGACACGCACCCACTTAGATATAGAATGGTTACCAAGCAAACACAAGCACCATTTTCAAATGACATTTCTGAAGCAGCTTTTGATTCTGTAAAATCCTAGGAAAATCAATACCAAGATCCTGCCCTTGAATTTTGAGAGAAGTTGGAGGTTAGAAATACATTTTGAATCAGATTTTTAAAAAAGCAGTTGCAGGCAACTCAGGCAAGATGGCAAAGAGGGGACAGACAACAGATGTTCCATCAGTATTCTTTCCATGAGGATCACCCTGGTGGAGGCTGAGTTTCTCACTGTCCATCCTCCCATAAGCCCATGAGACAAGTATATCATCTGCAGGCTGGAGCTGAGCAGTGGAATAAGACTGTCAGGGTCAAACCCTAGTACCTGGGTTCCACTATAGTCCATGGCCACTTACTGTCTGCAGGTGAGTGAAAACAAGAACACCTAGGAGAATTTTTACCACACTTTCTCATACACATTTAAAAAAATGAGAGAAGAAAAAGATAAACTATAGGTCTTACCATATGAATATATTTACATTTTAAAGCCAACTAGTTGGGAAATACAACATGAGAGCTGAAAACAACTGTGGTTTACTTATAATATGAAATAGCTTGTATCCATTAGAAATGATAGCTTTGTATAGATGAAAATCCACAAAATATGAAGTGAAAAATGAACCAAAAATTATGGATAACTTGCTACAGTTTACTTATGGTTATATAAAACATGTCCTCAGAATAATTAAAATAAAGAGACTAAATAGATATGCCTACCTTTAAAAATACTGTGAAGGACAGCTACTGTATGTATGGTAAGGGCATCTATTCATATTTCCGCTTGTATTGATAGCTGCTATGTTGATTTTTAATTATAAACATATATTATGTTTTTATTTTAAAGTGACTATCCCCAAAGTCGCTAAAACTGTTGATAAGTTTTATGTGAAAAAAATAGGTTATGAATGGAGACTTTAAAGGTGATAATTTCCTTCCTGATTTATTCATATTTCATTTACTAAATATTCTATGATGAGAATTCATTACTGAAATATGCTGAATAAAAATTCCAAATGTTTAGGAAGTTCCTGAGACATTCTGGCAGTT